ATGTAAGACCAGAAACTATAAAACTCCTAGAGGAGAACATAGGCAAAACACTCTCCGACATAAATCACAGCAGGATCCTCTATGACCCACATCCCAGAATTTTAGAAATAAAAGCAAAAATAAACAAATGGGACCTAATGAAACTTAAAAGCTTTTGCACAACAAAGGAAACTATAAGCAAGGTGAAAAGACAGCCCTCAGATTGGGAGAAAATAATAGCAAACGAAGCAACAGACAAAGGATTAATCTCAAAAATATACAAGCAACTCCTCCAGCTCAACTCCAGAAAAATAAATGACCCAATCAAAAAATGGGCCAAAGAACTAAACAGACATTTCTCCAAGGAAGACATACAGATGGCTAACAAACACATGAAAAGATGCTCAACATCACTCATTATCAGAGAAATGCAAATCAAAACCACAATGAGGTACCATTACACGCCAGTCAGGATGGCTGCTATCCAAAAGTCTACAAGCAATAAATGCTGGAGAGGGTGTGGAGAAAAGGGAACCCTCTTACACTGTTGGTGGGAATGCAAATTAGTACAGCCACTATGGAAAACAGTGTGGAGATTTCTTAAAAAGCTGGAAATAGAACTGCCATATGACCCAGCAATCCCACTTCTGGGCATACACACCAAGGAAACCAGATCTGAAAGAGACACATGCAGCCCAGTGTTCATCGCAGCACTGTTTATAATAGCCAGGACATGGAAGCAACCTAGATGCCCATCAGCAGATGAATGGATAAGAAAGATTGGTACATATACACGTGTAGCCCAGTGTTCATCGCAGCACTGTTTATAATAGCCAGGACATGGAAGCAACCTAGATGCCCATCAGCAGATGAATGGATAAGAAAGATTGGTACATATACGCAACAGAATATTACTCAGCCATTAAAAAGAATACATTTGAATCAGGTCTAATGAGATGGATGAAACTGGAGCCTATTATACAGAGTGAAGTAAGCCAGAAAGAAAAACACCAATACAGTATCCTAACACATATATATGGAATTTAGAAAGATGGTAATGATAACCCTATATGCAAGACAGAAAAAGAGAAACAGATGTATAGAACAGAATTTTGGACTCTATGGGAGAAGGCGAAGGTGGGATGATCTGAGAGAACAGCATCGAAACATGTATATTATCAAGGGTGAAACAGATCGCCAGTCCAGGTTGGATGTGTGAGACAAGTGCTCAGGGCTGGTGCACTGGGATGACCCAGAGGGATGGGATGGGGAGGGAAGTGGGAGGGGGGATCAGGATGGGGAACACATGTAAATCCATGGCTGATTCATGTCAATATATGGCAAAAACCACTACAATATTGTAAAGTAATTAGCCTCCAACTAATAGAAATAAATGAAAAAAAAAATAAGTTCAGGCTTTTGCTGACAACCCATCCTCTGATCATCCATGTCACTATGAGTGTGGTAACAGAAGAATGTATTCTTTCGTCAAAGGACATGGTGACTAAGTAGTTCTGTTCACCTCCAGGATATGGTGGGTGTTAAAAATGGACACAAGAGGGCTTCCTTGGTGGTCCACTGGTTAAGAATCCACCTGCCGATGCAGGGGACATGGATTCAATCCCTGGTCTGGGAAGATCCCACATGCCTTAAGGCAACTAAGTCCCTGTGCCACAACTGCTGCGCCTGTGCTCTAGAGCCTAAAACACAACTACTGAGTCAGCCCACCACACCTCCTGAAGCCCCCCTGTTCTAGAGTCCATGCTCCACAATAAGAGAAGCCACTGCAATGAGAAGCATGCACCCTGCAGTGAGAGAAAGACCACACGCAGCAACCAAGACCAGGTGCAGCCAAATATAATAGCTAATAAATAAAATAAATAATAAAAAATATAAAATGGATGCAAGATTGGTGGGTCCATGCCTGCTCTTTTGGTTAGAAGTGAAGGGACTAGGGCCCAGAGAGCAGGAGAGACTCATCCGAGGAGACACGCTTGATGTAGGTATGGACTACAGGGTGTCCTATCTCTCTTTTTCTTCAGAGCTGAGTCCTGGGAGAGGTCTGTGTTCCCCTGAGCAAGGCCATGCCTATAGGTAACTGCACAAACCTTTTGTCTGTAGGGCATCTTCTAGATGAGCCGCCGGTCCAAGTGTTACCTAAAGAGTGTGTGGATCTGGCTGCTCACCGCTCAAAAGCCAATAAACAGGCCAGGCTGATGAAAAGGAAAGTTTGTTTTATTTCAAATGCTGGCAACTAGGGGAGGGGAAGGGTGGCAGACATCTGTCCAAAGGTCAACTCCCCTCCACCTGGCAACCAGTGGGGTAGGAGCTCTTATAGACAGAGTGTGGGGGGCGGGCTATATGCAGAAATAGCACAGTCATCTCTGACAGTCATCTTCAAAATGGTCATTGGTGGTCTGAACAGCATCATCTTGGTTGTTTTAGGTACAGTTAATCACCAGTTCCAGGGTCTATTTTTACCCCATTTCTCTGAGGCCAATTCTGAGAACTGTGGCAGTTCATGTCCTGAGTACAGTTTGGCCAACATGTAGTTAATTTCTCCACTTGGAGTTTTAGTATCTATAAGACAGCTTACAGGATATGGCTCAGAATATTATCTATAGCCCTTGAGAAAGAATTAAAGGTCCTTAACTGTGCTTAATGAGTACATTATTATTAGTCTCCTTTGAATGTTCTCCTTTGTTTTCCCATTTCTCACTTCTCTTGATTAAATTTATTCTTTGACTAAAGTTTCCCACAGACAGAAGGCAGTCAGAGGACATGGTATGGAGGGGCAAGGAACATAGCGTCCTGTTCTGATCACAGGTACACCATCATCATGGAGCAGTGAGGGTACAGGATCGTGAACCCCACTTTTCAGCTGGCACCACCTCATGCTGGTCTCCCCGCCTTCATCATTGCTTTGCTTGCCTCCTGGGGCCCTCATGAGAACAGGGAAACATGGATGTCTGCTCCCAGCACTCTTACTGAACCTAGATGTCTGGTCAGGGCTATGAGGCACAAAGCAAGGAAATAAAGAACAGATAGATCAGAAAGGAATAAATAAAATGGTTCCTATTTGCAGATGACATAGTTGTCTACACAGAAAATCCCAAGAAATGTATACACAAAAAAATTTCAAGAACTAATAAGTTCTAGGTTCTAGGATACAAGACAAACATAAAAAAAATCAATGATATCTTTATATATTAGCAATGAACATGTGGACAATAAAATTAAAAGTACAATACCTAAAAATTTACAATCACTAAAAAAAGGAAAGGAAAGGAGGAAATGTTTAGGTGTGCGTTTAACAAACACATCCAGGCTTTGTATGCTTTTCACACAACACTGGTGAAAAAAATCAAAGAAGGTCTAAATAAATGGAGACACAAAATGTCTTCATGGACTGGAAACCTCAACATAGTAAAGATGTAATTGCCCCAAAATCTGATACAGAATAATGTTTAATCAGTTATCTCAGCATCCTATGGCCCAGGGAAGTTGACAACTGTGGTCAGAATAGCGTTACTGTAGGGATAGACAGGGAAGCCCGGCATGCTACAGCCCATGGGGTTGCAAAGAGTCAGACTGAACAACAACAAAAGAAGTAGAAGAGACAACCCATGAACACGCCCACACCTGGACGGAAACTTGCCAAATTCGGTGTCACTGATCATCACCAATCAAAACAGGCTGGACTGGTTCCTAAAAGGGATGGGGTAACAGATTATTAATATGGGAAAGGTGAAACTTCTGCCTTAACCCAGACCAAAAAATAATCAGTAAGAAAAGGGCTGAAATATGAAAACACAAAATTAAAAACTAGAGTATCTCTATGGCTTCAAGTTGGGAAGGCATTTCTTCCACAAGGGTCAACTCTAAAGTTAAATGTTAATAAACTCAGTTAAAATGAAGAACTGTTCTGGGGTCTCTTCTTATAAGGGCACTAATCCCATTAAGAGAGCTCCACCCTCATGACCAAGTGACCTAATTACTTCTCCCTCACCTCCAAATACTATCAGATTGGGGATTAGAGTGAACTTTGATGGCACATAAACATTGTCAGTGGATCTTCCCTGTAGCTCAGAAGAAGACCCAGGTTTGATCCCTGGGTTGGAAAGATCTTCTGGAGAAGGGAATGGCAATCCAATTCAGTATTCTTGCCTGGAGAATCCCATGGACAGAGGAGCCTGGCAGGCTACAGTCCATGGGGTCGCAAAGAGTCGGACACGACTGAGTGACTAACACTACTACTACTGAGCATTGTCAGTAAGGTGCTGGTTCCATCCCCTTGCTAAGCTGTGGTCTGTTCTGCTGCCACGGGGTAGGGGTGGGGGTGCGGTTTGGGTCCTGCGCAGGCAGCTGGACCAGAAGCAGCAGCAGCAAGGACGCAGCACAGGTGGCAGCACGGGTAACACACAGCCTATTCCCTGCCAGGGAGCCCTCTGAGAAGGACAAAACTCCCACCTGCTCATCTGTGGCCCAGCCACCAGGTCAGGGTATCACACAGACATGCTCACATGGGCGATTAGTCCCTTCTGGCACCTCTGCTATCGTCCTCATCTGAGCTACTCAGATGAGCATCTGCTCAGTTTGGGATATTGTTGAAGGTAAGGAAAGATAGAGCCGTAAGCTATCAGCTGTGCAAGCTGCACACTGCAATTCCAGAAGGCATCATTCACAGCTGAGTCTCCGTTCTGCTATTAGCTGCGTTGAAGCTCACATTTATTGAACACACTATGTCCCAGATACATGGTCTCACTAAATTCTCGGCTTCTGTTTTCTTCCTTTTACAGACGATGAAACCCAGGCTCAAAGAGCCACTCCCTTGCCCAAACGGCAGAAGCAGAGCTAGGATTTAAACCTCCTGCTGCCCAGCTTCAGGGTCCCCAGGACACCGGACTCTGAGCACAGGGTTGGCACAAAATCTGTTAACCCTAACCCTGGCAGGCCAGATCCATGAAAGCCCTGCTGGCCGCCCCTGGGGCCTGGGCGCCACAGCACGGGGCAGGGCGCCCATGGCGCTGGACTCGGATTCAGGACTGGCTCTTCTAAGGACCAGACAGGAGACCTCGGGCCTCAGCAGGCCCCTGCGCCCACTACTCCGCACCCCTCCCCGCAGGGAAGCGAGTAGGAGCGCTCCAGGGGTTCCGCCGAGCCCCGCTCTCGGGGGCGGGGCTGGGAGCGGTCACGGGGAGGGGCGTCCAGTTCCCCCGCCCAGTCCGAGCCCCGCCCCGCCTCCAGGCTCCAGGCCCCCCACCCGCCCTCCGCCAGCCGAGAGCGCAGAGCCGGAGCAGGGCACCGCGCGGGCTCGGTACCGGACGCCACCCCCAGCTGCCGAGGGTGCCGCGCGGTTTCAAGAACCCCTGCTCGCTGCGTGGCCTTTTCCGGCCAGCTGTGCGGGCGGCTGGACAGCGGCGGCAGCGAGAGCGAGGACTCGAGCGCGGGCGGCAGCCACGACACCATGGATCTGTCTTTTATGGCCGCCCAGGTAAGGGGGCGCCTTCCACGCGCGCCTCGGGCCGCCAAGTTTGAGCAGGTTCGGGGCCACGGTCTCGCCCTCTCCTCCGGGGCTGGGCGCGCCGGGAGGGGTAAGGCCAGGAGGTGGCGCCCGCCGGCGATCCGAGTCCCGGTCCTTTGTCCGGAGCTGGCATCACCACCTGGTGCGCGCGTCTGGGGCGGCGAGCGCGGCTCCCGGGGGTGGGGCCGGCCTGAGCTCCCCGCGTCGACCTGAGGTCGGGGTCTTGGCAGTGGTCCCCTCCCGGCCCATCCCCCACCTGCGGGGTCCCCCTTTCGTTGCCCCAGAGCCCGTCAAGGCGAGGCAGCCCCAGATCCGTGCGAGCCCGGGTTGGGCAGGCAACCTGGCTTTTCCCCATTCTGTTTCTTTCCGAGGCGCAGGGTAATCTGCCACTTGCTCTGACCTCCGGCGCCTCCCACCTCACTTTTCTCGCCTTTGATGGAGACCGCAGACCCGAGGAAGGCGGCGAGACCAGCTCTGTGACCCGCCAGGCGCCGGAGCTCAGAGCACAGCAGCGGCTCTGTCCTTGTTTTGCTTCGTGCTGAGTCTGTAGCGATTGTTCTTCCCTCGGCAAGGAACAGGTTCCCAGTGGCAGACAAAACAGATGACCTCTCATCGCTTGGTTTTGCTCCAGGAGAATCCCCCGGAGCCCTGGTCGTGGAGTGATCTTGTCGTTTGGTGCCCTAACTCTGGAGCCAGAACAAAGGCAAACGCCTGCTTTCCAGAGCTGTCTCTGGCCTTTCAGACATGCAGTCTGGCTCTCGGGAAGGTTCACCGCTTTTGGGTTGGGGGAGTAAGTCCCCACGAGTTCAGACCTTGCACCTTCTACCAGGATGGTTACGTTGAGAGTCCAGTGGCAGGAAGGACCCCCAGGTTCCCTCTGTCCCCTGGGTGTGTGGCAGGAGCCCCGCTAACTGCTATTTACTCTTCCAGGGAATGGCGTTTCAGAGGATACCTCCCATTCCCCCCAAACTTCGCCCTGGTGGAGGCCTCTTTAAAAAGTAACTGCACAGTCTAGACCATGGGGACAGTGAGTCCCCAATGCAGGCGAGAATGGGTGCAGAATCCCCCAAGTTGGCTTAAGGGAATCCAGATTCCAGCTCTTGGCAGCCTCTTTATAGGTTTTCCATAATGCTAATTGCTTTCATGAGCCATGCTGGTCTTTTTTTGCCTAATTTTCTATCTCTTATTTCTAAACGCGTGTTTAGAAATATTGTCTCATGGGCATCATTTTAGGCAGTGGTGATGGTAGCTGTGTGGTAACTGAGGAGATGTCACCAAATTTATTTCTACAGAGGAGAGGGGCTCACACAATGTCTACCTCTGCCTTCCCCCTCTGGTGGTTTGCTAAGTGGTGTCCGACTCTTGCGACCTCATGGACTGTAGCCTGCCAGGCTCCTCTGTCCATGGGATTTTCCAGGCAAGAATACTGGAGTGGGTCGCCATTTCCTCCTCTAGGGGATCTTCCCGACCCAGGGATCAAACCCTGGGATTGAACACAAGTCTCCTGCACTGCAGGCAGATTCTTTACCCACTGATCCCCTCTAGAGCCCACCAAACAGCTGACGTTGCCATGGTTACAGGATAAATTGATTACGGCTAACCCTAGGACTGGCTGAAGCTTCAGGAGTTGCTATGGTAACTTGACAAAATAAACTAGGGCTTTTCAACACCCATAGGCAGAGCCTGCTCAGAGGTTGAGCTCTGTTTTTTTCTTTTTTGTTTACAATTCATGTTTAATGTGGTCATTTTATTTCTGTGGACAGATGTTTGGGCATTGATTACATGCTCAGTCCTGGGCTAGCTGCAAGGACAGAAACATGAAGTGCCATCAAATGTGGAAAGACATTTACTGAGACCTGCTCTGTGCCAGACATGGACACTTGCATACTTGATTATAGTAAATTCTAACACGTCTGGCAAGTCTGTGACGTTGGTATTATTATCCCCATTTTACAGATCAGGATACCACACTTAAGTGAAATAAAACAATTTCATTTAAAAAACATTTAAAAAACAGCTTCATTGGGTTAGCAGTAACCCAGGACACATTATTAGCAAGGAGGAACATGGGTTTCAAACCTGGCTCTGAGGATTTGCAAAGCTGCTAGGTTTTCCACCTTATTGCTTCCCCCTGAGAAAGACACAAAATAAGGGACCAGGCAGACATATTGAAAGATGGCTCATCTCTTCTCCAAGCATCCCAGGTAGCACAGTGGTAAAGAACTCACCTGCCAATGCAGGAAGCATAAGAGACACAGGTTCGATCCCTGGGTCGGGAAGATCCCCTCGAGAAGGGCATGGCCACTTGCTCCAGTATTCTTGCCTGGAAAACCCCATGGACAGAGGAAGCCTGGCAAGCTATAGTTCATGGGGTCTCAAAAGAGTTGGACATGACTTAGCGACTAAACAACAACTGCAGCACTTATGCTTGGCCACAGTGCGTGCTCAGCACAAACTATGGGTGTGCAGTGACCACCAGGTGCGTGTGACTAAGCTGCTGTCCCCACACAGCAGCAGGGGGCAGTTGAACAGAGACACGTGAATGCTTCCATCCACTTGTTCGGCTAATGCTGAGTGCCGGCCTTATGCCAAGCTCCGTGTCAGGCACTGGGACAGGGATGCTGGGGGACAGTTGGATAGGATGTACATTTTGTTTCTGGACCCTTGGAGAAGAGTGGAGATGACAGACCAGGCCATTCCTAGAAAGGGTGACCAAAATGCCTGGCATATAGTAGACCCTCCGTAAGCATCTGTGAGATGATTGGATGAGGGTAAAACAAGATGTATGTACTGGAAAAGACAATCAGAGGAAAAGACAGTGAATTTGAGGTAACACATGCCCCTGCCCGAACACCTGCTCATCAGTTCTTGAGGCTGGAGGTTCTGATGGATGAGACCTAGAGGCAGATTCCCCTTGATGGGCCTGGGAATAAAGGTATTTTAAACAGAGAGGCATGGAACTTCCCTGGTGATCCAGTGGTTAGGAGCTGGCACTTTCACTGCCATGAGCCGGGGTTCAATCCCTGGTCAGGGAGCTAAGATCCTGAAAGCCATGTGGTGTGACCAAAAAAAAGCAGAGAGGCATGGAGGTAGGAAAGCCGGAATGTATTCACAGAATCCTCCAGGAAGCTGGAGGGTAGGGGACACTGTAGAATTGGGAGAGAGAGGCCAGGACCTGGTGGTAGAAGGTACTCACTGCCTGAGATAAGAAGTTCACACTGAAGCAGGAGACAGTGGGACCCATTGTAGGTGACTGAGCGCGAATGGTTTCTAACTGAAGCAGCGCCCTGGGAAGACCTCAGCCTCAGCAGAGCCCAGAAGCTGGAGGGATGGATGGAGTAGGAAGTGCACACCTGTTTGATTCACTGATGGAGTAGAAGAAACCACATCCTTGTGACTCCAAACCCCAAGTCTCTGTCCCTTCACCAAGTTGTGAAATATGACTTCTCTTTGTGGCTTAAAAAATATCTGGAGAATACATGCCATTTTAGATAGACACCCCTCTCAAAAGTTAAGCATCAAAAAGACGCTGTTCTTGGATGTACAAGAGTGGACATCAGTTATCCAGCAGATCCTCTTACGCGGATGCACCCTCCCTAGTGCATGTACACGGGGCTGTGGGTCTGGGTTTAGAAGATGCTGTGGGTGCTGAAGACATAAAGACTCAGCTCGCTCCTGAGCCTTGGAGGCACTCTACTGTCCTTTTTCCCAACCCTGAAAACACCCCAGCCCCTCTCTACACAGTCCCTGGGTCCCTGGAGATTCTAGAAGGTTGAACGGTGAACAGGGGTATATGTTTTTCTATGGCCAGAGATGGCCAGAAGGGCAAGGCTCCCCAGGCCCCGGGAGCCGGGAGGAGGGGAGAAGCACAGATCTTGAGGACCGATCCTCAAAGCCCTGTGTTGTCATTGGGGTAGCCTGTCTCCAGAAATGGCCCCAACCATTCCTTCCCTACCTCTGAAGGTGCCTGCTGGCTCCCCATTAGGGGATGGGAGATCTGATCCCCCTCCCCTTGATCTGAGCCTGGCTTTGTGACTTTTCTGACCAAGACAAGTAGTGTGAGTGACATTCTGAGACTAGCTTGTAAGAAACCTACAGCTTCTACCTGGGACTCTTTGAGCGCTTGCTCGGGGGTAAGTCCGTGAGCTTCCATCGTGCATGAAATGTGGAGATCCTGAGACAGCCAGACTGAGGAAAGGGAAGGAACATTTAAGGGACCTACTGTGTGCTGGGCCACACATGGGATGAACTCAAGGTACAAGGAGCCCTGTTCACATGTTTCTAGGTTGTGACCCCCTATAGAAAAAACAGGCCTAGAGCCTAAGATGGAGAAGGAAATGGCAACCCACTCCAGAATTCTTGCCTGAGAATTCCATGGACAGAGGAGCCTGGTGGGCTACAGTCTGTGGGGTCACAAAGAGTCGGACACTAATAAGTGACTAACTTTCACTTCACTTTCAGGGCATAAGACTCACTCTTATTTTTGTCTTCTGTTGTCCCTACAGTGATGAGTCTAAACCCAGGAGTTCCCAAATGTTGCCACCATTTGAATCACCTGGAAACTTTTAAGAGTCCTGCTGCCTAGGTCCAGCCCTAGACATTCCCATCTGAGTCTGGAGCTGGGAGCCAGCATCAGTATTTTATTTTCATCCCCTAGTTGATCCCAGTGTGCGATCAAGGTTGAGACCTAGACCTGAAACCCACACTGTAGGGCCATTCCCCTCCCACTTCTCTGGATGGAGCAAGTCTTTGGCTCTCTGGTCCCTGTTAGGTCATATAAAGCCATGTCGTCCCTGGAAATCACTCCAGTATCAATTCAGCAAATTCAAATGTTGAGGCCCAGAATAATGGGAACTTGCTCCAAAATAGAGATCCTTATTTGGGATTGGCAGATGCAAACTATTGTGCAGAGGATGGGTTAACAATGAGGTCCTACTGTTATAGCACAGGGAAGTATGTTCAATACGCTG